GTCTAGGTTACAGGAGAAGACTTGAGGGCAAGGGACAAGTTGAGACAAGTTGATGGCGAATAGGCATCTTCAAACTGATAAGCTGAGTGGCAATTAATTGGAGATCATTCATCCAAAATGCAGTGCATGAAGCTCTCATTTAATGTAGACTACTACTTGCCTACTACTATAAATTGTAATGTTAAAAACTGCGCATAAAACTTACTTAGCTATGAACATTATTAACGCATAATGAATGACCATAATGTTATTTGATGGAGTATGTGCTCTGGTAGTTAGATTTTACTGTTGCTCCATGCTAAAGTGAAGAATCTGCGTTTTTTTCCCAGCATGGGTTTTTTTGTGGAACAGTCAGAGGTGACTCATGTTAAAGATGAGTGCATACAAAATAAATGCAGAAAAATGTTCTTCTATACAAAGTTATTTAAATAATTCCTTTCATCTTCAGTGACACCTGCAGTGTACATTGAAACCTTTCTAGGCAAAGGTTGTTATAAATGTGATTGTTATGAATTATGTCAATTTAGCCACCAATTAACAACTTGAATAAATGATTACATTCATTATCGGGCATGATGCAAAGCTAATTGAAGTCTGTGGGAGCTTTTCTATTGAGTTCACGAAGCTTTGGATCAGGCCCATAAGTGGATAGCTAAATAATAATCTTTCTTTTTTTTAGATAGGTAATTTTCTTGTGTTCTGTTTAGGTTGGGGAAAAACATTGAACCTTTCTGCTTCTAACCTGTGTGACCCCATTAATAAAGAATGAACAGTTGTTCTAAAACTCCCAATGAAAATGAGTTCCTGTCAAAAGCATTATTGTTCTTTCCTTCCACATATGGCCATGTGATATGCTGGAGCTTCAGAACATTCTCAGTCCATGGAAATGGCAAATAATGTGTCTAAAATTGAAACATTTCTTTAGCCATCCCTATAATTAAAGAAGAGGAAGACGGCAAGTGTAATGGGGTTTTTATAAGCTGTCAAAAAACCCACTCCCTTCTTGCCAAGATTCATTTATGAAAACATTTCTATGACTTAGAAATAAGCAGAAGGAAATGCTGAATTTTTTTTTTCTATTGCTTTTTTCACAGACTTACAGGCAGTGTGTTGGCTAGATTTCAATACGGTAATCATGATTTTCTTTACTGAAAAGCTCTCTTTTTGTTTGCATAAGGTTACTCAGTATATTTTATGAGCTATCTTGTAATAGTGTCACTTGCTATTTGAAGGGCTATTTTAGTACAACACTGTGTGCGTGTGTGTGTGTGTAAATTCCTGATCACAGAGTAGTCTGACAGCTGAGAACAGTGAAAAGAAAGGAAATCACTAGTAATAAAAGCACAATTTCCAGTTACAAAAAAAGGTGAGAAAGCAAACAGGAAACTGCCTTTCAATGTCAAGAGTGTATAAAACAAAATCAGAAGAATTACTGATATTCTTAATATTGAAAATGAGAACAAAGCAGGGTGTGGGGGTTCTATTGCATGACAAGCACTTAAAGTGAGTCATTGAGTAGGAAATAAAACTATTTATATTAAAAATTTGCTTAATTAGAACTGTGATAATTTCAGGGTTTGCGTTTTTTCCTTTTTTTTTTTTTTTTTCTTTGCTGATACAGTTTAAACCTGAAGCTGCCTGTTAATCCCAGATGTCCCTGTGGCAGGCAACATGAGACAAGACTCATATATTTGTCTGGTCAGTGTCAGTCACATGTCACCATGAGACTGGATGAGATCAAGGGAGAGTGGCAGACCAGGCATGAAGTGCTGGAGTCTGCTCCGAGGGAGCCCTCAAGTGTGCTCTAAATCCTCAGGCATAATTGGGGTTCCCCTGAAATGACCAACTGTATCACCTGGAACTTTTTTCTGCATGCTCCTGTAGGCAATTAACATGAAATAGGCCCAAACTGGCCTTGTAATACCAAGTCAGTGCACCTTCTGAACTGTACTGCACAAAGACAGCAATAGGCTGAGATATACATGAAATGTCTCAAAGTGGATGAAAATGGCAACTGTGTTGGCTACACAGGTAACATCTGCTAATGCAAAGCTTTTGCCTAATTATTCTTTTGATTTCTGTGAAGTTCAGTCAGTAACATAGTGGAACTACTGACATCTGTTATAAAAATACTGCTAGCAAAAAAAAAAAAAAAAAAGTTAGGACAATAATGAAAAGCTGAATTTCTTGTCCCTGCTCATACTGGCTGTGTGTGGTGTGGCTCCTTTGACTGCAGCAGACTGACTCCTGATTTACAGTAGACCTCAGGGAAAGACAACGAGAAATCTCTACAAAAATGGCATGCTAACTAGCTCAGGTCTGCCTTGCTGTGCTGGAATCTGTGATAATTAATACACTTTAAAGGAAATTAAATGACTACCTGGAATTACTGCTAAATTTAATTATTTTGTGTTGGGCTAATTTAAGCTTTGAGGCAAAAGAGAATCAAAAGGATACTTCTGAACACCTTCTGAATGTTGTCATTAAGAAAGTATATGTGATATAAAAAAAATGTGTGTGTATATTCAGGCATTCCAGCCTTGATAAGACATGAGTGTGCAGACTTTTTGTGTCCAAGGTTATTTATAGTATTGTATTGAATAAGATAGTGCTCATCTACCTACTGAATTACCTATATTGGACAGCAGAGCCGTTCAGGGACAGCTACAGGAATGTACAAATAGGAAGCATGCTGCTGAAGTCTCTTGTTCTTGGATCAGTTTGCCTGTGAGGGCTGGAGAACATGAAATCCTTGGTTGGTTCCTGTGCTGCTTGTAAAGGTGAAATGTCCTTTTTTGCCACTGAATCGTGAAAATGTTCTCGGCGGAAAACCAAATGAATAGACACCGATCTGCCATTTTCAGTCTCGATAAAGAAAATGTCCTATTGCAGGAAGAAAGGAAATATGGAAGAAGCTTCACTCCTCTCCCCTACTCACTACATGGGCTTGCATACAGCTGTTGCATTTTATTTTTTTTTTTCTAAGAAGTGCTTTGTAATAAATTCAGAGGTCAGAAAGCAGGGTGACGGTGACAGGACAGGTAGTGTATATCAAAGGAGAGCACCATGCCAGTGTGACATGAACTTCCTGCATCTCAGCAGGCAAAAGGAGGTGCAGGAATTGCCTTGTAGGAAATAGAAGAGGACATAGGCTAAGCATGCTATATAGATCAGAAAGATGTGTTTGACAGGCATGGTGCTAGCATCAGACAATGCCGCCTGATGAAAAGGAACGATTAAGGAGTGGTTAAGGAGGCAGCCGCTGTATGAAGCACTGTGCTCTCCCGTACAGTAGGCTGCCGTGACGGATATTCAGTGCTTCAAACGTGGGACATTATATACACCATAGCACAGAATAACCAGTTTTAAAACATGCTGTGGAGAGTAGAAAGCATCTTTCTGCTGTTCTCTTTTGTGATTTAGAAGGGCTTTGTGCTTCTCAGGTAATAAAACTCAGTATACTCTTTAATTGTTAAGGTAGATTGTAATCGACAGTACTTAACTGCACTGTTCCAGCCTTGACAGTGGAGACAAACCCATCAGGTATCCTGAAAAGAAAACGAAACAGGGTGGGTTTTTTGTCGGTCACCCAGCAATGCTGCTGTACTGAAACAAGTATAGAAAAATAGTGCACATAGTACTACTGTCTTTTTATTCAATATAAAGCTGCCAGAGGGCTTTATGCATTTTGATTTTGCTATTGCCTGTCTTTAAATGTGTGCTAGGCATATGCAGTTGCTGTTTAATACATGTATTCAGCACATGTGTGTTTGTTCCCCACTGGACGTCTTCATTGCCACAGCGTTGGAGGGGGTTGTAGAATTCTTCCAGCAAGCCTACTTTTAATTTATTATTTGGCACTTTCCTCAAGTTGGTTCCAGCGGTTTAAAAGCAAAGAAGTGTTTATGTATTTGCCATCTCTGATATTTAAGATTGCTGCTCTTTTCATCCTACTCCGTCTAGTACGTAATCTATTTGTGTTAAACGTTTCATCATGCAAGAGTGAATTCAGATTAAGAGATCTACCCTTTCACATGCCAGGGTTTGACTGAAACTGTGTGACTGGACTTTCTTCAGATGCTGGAGAAAGAACATGTGTTTTCTTTTGCCCTTTGCTCATTTTCTTCATCTGTCACAGTTGTCTAGATATATATGTAGAGAAGGGTTTCTGTAAAATAAAATTACAGAATTAATTATGCTGTTTGAAGCAAACTTTCCCTCCCACCCTTTTTTAGTAGTTTATTTTGTGTGGGTTTGGGGGTTTTAATATAAAGGCTCTTCGGCTCTTCAGGTGCTTTTGCAATAAATAATTAAAGAAATCACAGTTAATGGTGATTTTCCTTCAACTTTTTACGTACCATCTGTAAATTTTATTTCAGGGAGTTCTCAATTCAGAGGTAGTGCTTTATATCTTAGTTTAGTAGACCTTTTGTGGAACTGGACAATTGATTTTTGAAATCCTTTAAATTTTTGGCATTTACCATGTCCTGTGTCAGAGAATTCTGCAGTTTGATCTATATTTTCTATGAAGAAAAATCTCACTTTGAACCCTATTGTGTTCCTGTCTCTTTGAATACTCATGAGGGACTTGGAAGAAGCAATGAACAATTGTTTCGTGCTTACCACCTTCTTGTCATTCAGATTTTATAGACCTTTATCATGTTCTTTCTCACCCATATCTAAGTCTACTTTTCTGTTTATTCCTGATGTAGGAGCTCTTCTCTAATTTTGATCATCCTTTTAGCACTCTCTTAAACCTTGTTTTTACTCTACTATATCCTTTTTGGAAGGAAACGACCAGAAGTGTTTATAGTATTCAAACTGAGAGTGCACAGTGTGCTTCTGTAGTGGTATGATGATAATTTTCTGCTATTCTGTTTCTAGAAAATCTGAACGTTCAGTTTGCTTTTCTGAGTATGGCAGAATGCTGAATGAAATGTTTTCCTCTGGATTTCAAAGGACTATGTAAATTAATGACAGTTGCTTCTGTCTCTGTGCAGCTGCTGATGGAATGGTGTGCAATGAATTATGCTCAAGTGATGGCTGTTGGGGGCCAGGGCCAGACCAGTGTCTCTCCTGCAAGCGCTTCATCAGGGGACGGACCTGCATAGACTCTTGCAACCTGTATGATGGGTAAGATATTCCCCTTGCACTTTCCCCTAAAGTTGCTGATTATGTTGTTCAGGACTTTAATGAGTAAGTTCTTTAGGTATTGCATTAATCAATATCTGGCTCCATTGCTAATGTTACTGATTTTGAGTGAAATACGTTGTGGGATAAGTTTTAAGGATTTCTAAATCTTAACTTGTGTAGAAGGCTTCACCCAGTCTTCTGCTGAGTAAAATTTTCATGCAACATCAAAAGTTTGTTGAACCTTTTGCACTGCTCATGATGTGAACAATTTAGGTAAAGACTCATGAAAGAACCCCACCATTGAGCCCTACTTGAATAATGACACCCCTGTACAGAAACACATACAATTATGTATGAGTTAGATTTAGGCATGTGATAAAGAATTTCTCTGAATAAGGACCCAAAATTAGGAAAAGTCTCTCTTTTTTCATAATGCACTGTGTATGTATACACACAAATGTAAATAGTAAACCCAACATGAGTTCTTCCTCCCCTTTCCTCTGCTGCTCATGCATGTGCACCATCTTTTCTGGAGGATGGGTGGGGGAATACCTACCTACAGCACAGCCAAGGTGACTGAATCTGCTTTAGGACAGAAAATAGAGCTGAACTGATTATATTAGCTGCAGCAGCAGCAATTCATAATTAAGCTGTGGAAGGAAACAGGTAAAATTTTACTTCCTGTATAACAATATAGCAAGGTCCCCCGCACCTCTCTTAAAGTCAACATAAAAAACCTGAATTATTTAAATAATCTTTTTGAGATCGTGCTGCTAATTGAAAAATAAGATCACTTTATGATTTCATCCTCTTTCTTTTCCTGTCTTGGATGTCAACTCACGTAATTGGAAAGAGTATTGAATGAACTCCTATACAAACATGAAAATGTTCTAAACGCTTCTATTTGCAGAATGCATGCAAAAAAAAATCTTGTCAGAGGACAGTTTTATATGCTTAAAAGCTCCTCTTCTCTCCTCCCCCACCTCCCCCCAAAAAAGAAAAGTTGCAGACCACAGTTGTGTTGTCATGTGCACCAGAATATATTGGACCACATTTGGTGGCTTTCTTCCATGAAGCCTAGCATGGTAAGATCATGAGGAGGCTCTCCTTACCAGCCCTCAGGTCAGAATGTTCTGATCTGTATCCATTAGTGAATGGTATTTACACTTTCCACCGGCTCAGTTCCTTCCTAAATATGTGAAGTGATTTGTGACCTGGGACTGGGGAGATTTTTTGTTTGTGTGAGAGCTCTTCACATTCATCTTGCAGGGCAACAACAGTACTTCAGGGTAGGGTCAGATGTATTTGACTTCTCTGTTAGTCCTCAACAGGAAAGATCCATCTCCAAAGGCAAAGAGACTTGCCATTGTCAGTTGAGGTTTTCTTCAGTTGTATTGTTGCAATAGGTATTAATTACTCTGTGGAAGGGTGAACATCAGTAAACTAAGCACAGAGGCCTTCCTCCTTTATCTGGATATTACTAGAGCCCACTAATATAAGTGTACAGCACATCTTTAACTGGTTAATGTAAATATCTTAACTGCTTAAAGCAACAAGATGAGATCCACCTGCAAAGCAGGTGTTCAGGTGGTGTTCAGTCTGGGCTAGTTACATAGATTCTGTCTGTAGTCAGTAGGACAAAAATGACCTGTTCAGATGTTAATTCATCTCAGTCTAGAAGAGGGTGGGATGAATTGTGTTGAGAAAATGCCAGAGGTTTTTTGTGAGGTGCAACTGTCACCTGTAATGAGACACCTGGCATTTAAAGGAAGAAATACCACCTACTGTCACTACTTTTTTTCCCCACTTACAAATGGATAATTAAAAAAAACCAAAAACACTTGGGTGATAGTCTCTTGTGGATACATGAAATGAATAAGCAAAAGGATTTGTTTTGACATTTTATAGATTCAGATCTTAGTCTAGAATTGTTGATGAAAAAGTTACAAGCCTTTTGGAGAATGGGCTTTAAAACAAGAGTGTTTGTAGAGACATAACTAAAACAAGAGCTGCACTGTCATCCGTGCTCTTTCTAATCCTTTCCTACCCAATAGTGACATCTCACATGTAACAAGTGGCTTCCTGAATCTGAGCTATGAATGATAATTCCATCGATAAAAATTGAAAAATTAGTTACTTTGTCCTGTTAATGAGGTCCATATTTTCCTAAGCAAAGAGGGGGGAAAAACCACTATAGTTTTATACTGGTAAACAAGATATCTTCAACTTCACCTGCCCATGAATGAGGTTCCTGATGGGGCCCAGTTTTCAGCTGGTATAAATCAACAGTCACTAACAGAAGTGATCTCAGCTGGCCTAGTCTGCTGACCCTAGTGAAGCTGAAGTGATTTCCCCCAGGTGAAGAAACAGCTATTTTGTTTCTGTTTCAATCTAATTTTTGCTTTCTCCTAACCTGTCTCCAAAATATTTTCCTAGGGAATTTCGAGAATTTGCAAATGGTTCTGTTTGTGTGGAGTGTGATCCCCAGTGTGAAAAGATGGAAGAAAACATGATCACATGCTATGGGCCGGTAAGAGCAAAATTTTTTATGTTATGGGGTACATTATTAAAGTGTACCAAAGCACAGACTCTATTTTCTGCTTACAGACTTTAAAGTAGCTATTGAAAATTAATGTTAACAAAAGCAGGAAATATACCTATTCTGCATGTAGGGAAAGAATTCTGCTCATGTTAAATTGGTGCTGGAAATAAACTTCCTCGGATCAGATTCCTTAACAAAACAGCTTAAAAAATTTTCTGAGTTGTATTAATGCTTAGTAGTACAGATGCACAAAATTTTTAAGTGACAGATAGTATGCAGTTGTGATTTGAGTGCCTTCATTTTTAATGGTTTTCATTCTTTATGCTCAGTTTTGTCCTGTTATACTACAAATTCAGTAACTTTTTTTTTTTCACAAAAAATTGTGGAAATTTGCCTCGATCTCTCGATTTCTGTGACTTGCCTTTTTCTTCTCTTCAGTAGCTATCATAATTTTTGTTGCAATAGTGTGTTTTCTACAACACAACCATAAAGCAAGGAGCTAACATTTAAGGTGCTCAACCCATGAGAGAAATTTGGATTTGTAGGCAGGGGCCATGAATGTAAAATTCTAGACCAGTGCCCAACCTGAACAGCAGATTTGTTTATACACTAGGTTATCATCACAGCTTTAAAATTCTACTTCTACAAGGTCCAGGAGCCTTGGTTTGTAGTTTGTAACAGTCTGGTCTACATATGTATTAAGAAGAAGGAGCCCATGTAGCTCTTCAGTATTGTGATCAGATACCACAGAGAGAACACAGTGTGGAAACTAGTTCTGGAGTGCAGAGGTAGGGGATCCCACTGAAAGGCCATTGGATTTGCGTTGCGAATGTGGGTCAATATTGAACAATCTTGTGGGAGATTTCTTGGAGTTAAAGTGGGTATGATGCCCATTGTGTTAAGCACATCAGTAGTATTGAGAAACATGTTTAGAAGCTGAAATTTAGTCTTACATTCTACAGAAGTTGTTTCTGACCAAAAGCACCAGGATTTACATGCTTGCTGCTCCTTTAACAGAGGAGCGTATAGCTCCTATATATGGAACCATACAGCTAATTCACTGTTCATTGGGAAAGAAATGCTACTGCTGTTATTGCCTGTCAGTCTAGGACCTGCAGTTATAGCGCATCAGGAGAAGACAGAGTTGAGTACACTGCATTTCTTTCTTCCATGCTCTCCAGGGACCTGACCATTGCACAAAGTGTTTCCATTTTAAAGATGGTCCAAATTGTGTGGAAAAATGTCCTGATGGCTTACAGGGGGCCAACAGCTTCATTTTCAAATATGCTGATGAGGATCGTGAGTGCCATCCGTGTCATCCAAACTGCACCCAAGGGTAAGTGCAAATTCTGTGAAGTGAACCATTCTATTTACTGCTTATAGCACATGATGATTTACATACAGTTTGGCTTGGTAAAGCAGTTGTCCCACTCCTGGAAACAGTGTGTGCAGCAGTACTGCAACCTTTGATTTTCAGGTGTCTTGTGACATTCAGGTTCTAGTCCTGAATGTCCAGCAGCTTAACAGAAAAAAGCTTACATCTGTTTTGAAAACCATAGAGAACAACTTTTCACAGCAACGCTCTTCGCTTTCCTTCTAGCTACCACTGGTTTGTAGGAAATGCTGCCATTGACACCTAAGTGTAGGCCTGCAAAATTACTTTGTTTTTAGTATTGGCTTGTTGACAGAATTTTCATCTCTGCTTCTTCATGTTGGTGAACTAACCTGGCAGCACTACTGTGAGATTGAAAGCATTACTGCTCTCTTTTTCATATGGGGACCAATGCAAAAGTTTTGTCTGAAACTAGACTTTGCACAGGAGTATGAGTGTCAGCTTCTCAGGTCCTAAGTGCCCAAAATCACTTGTTACATTTGGAAGTATTCAGCCCATGTATCTGAGTCAGAATTAGGAACATGTGTATGTGACTACTGTTATTTTGTTGCACAACTATTGTTTTTCATGGGCCACATAAGTTATAAATGTCTTTTTGATGAGTTGGTTGGTGGTGTCCAGCATACAAAGAAAGAGGCAGCCAGGGGTAAAAAGAGAAAACTTCAGTGAGTGAAATAATCTTCGACAAGAGACTCTTATTGTTTAGCAGCTAAAATTAAACCAGTAAATTATTCAGTGTAATCTTGATGTCAACAGCTGTTGCTATTCAAAATGAGACCTTTTGCTGGTTTTGCAAATCTAATTACAATAGAGCCATTAGGGAAATGAAAGTGAGATCGCAAAGACACAGCCAGGATCTGTTAAAGATTTGTCTTCCCCTCAGACCCTTTAAATCACTTATGCAATAAGAAAAATGCTGCTACTGTGGAAGAAGAGTGTAAGAAGAAACAATGTGAAAAGATGAGCTCACTTCAGGAGCTCTGGTTCTGGCTCTCATAGATCGTGGAAGTGCCTGTTCTGATTGATTCTGACAAGCCCAGCTATGGATGATAGATTTACTGTCCACCCTGCATAAGAAGTGCCTTGCAGCTCTGCTGGACTCACAGAAGACCAGTATATGACACTTCCCATTCCCTCTTCTTTTCTGGGGAGGTTTAACTGATCTATTACTAATCTTCATGGCATAACTGTGTTTCTCCTAGATGAGGAAAGGAGCAGAATGTTTTCCATGCCTTTCAGTTCTTCATATGCATCAGTATTTTGCAAGTGGTCATTTGTTTTTATCTCCCTGGATAGAATGGAATCAAGAAGGGAGGCTTTTATGCCTTGTGATGGAAATCTGACATTCTTGTTCATGAACAAATAAGAAGGACATTAGGCAGTTGTAACTGAACTTGCCAGTATTCATCTGCAACCCTTGGTGACACACGGTTACTTTCTGCCGAATGATGTTGTCATTTAATTCTTGAACTTTCAATTTTCCCTTTTTTATATTTTCTGCAGCTGATGAGGTGAAAGAATGTCTTGTTTAGAGTTGTGTGCCAATCCTTGGAGAAATTACAAACTACCACTAGTAAAAGGGCCAAAGGTCTCACCCAGGTTACATATACAAATGTGTGGTGATCTCCCAGATGAAGAGCTATCCCTTTGCCTTGACTCAAATTCTCATAGGAATCCTCACCCTCTTACTAAAGAGTTAATGTGTCTGTTCTTAGATATTTTGTTAACACCTCATAAAAACAACACCCCACCGCCCCCCAAATCTGGGTAAGCATGCATATTCTTTTCTACTGTTCCTAGAGACTTTCTGGCATGTGATTATGTTAATGAAACTGTTAATGACTGCCCCAGATGTTTGGGGTTTATGGGTTGTCTATCTTCTTGCTAGCATTGTCAGGGGCTGAATATGCCCACAGAGAGAAAGGAAATCATGTGCTCTCTCTCCTTTTCTCCTTTAATACTGCATTCTCTAGTTTCATACCCTTCCTCTAGAAATTAATATTTAAATTCCCCTCAATCAGGATTGTTCAGTGGAATAGGTTATGGAGAGAACACATCTTGATATTTGGCTCACAACTGAATGGTACAGAGAAACCATAACTCTACTTCATCTGGCATGTCTGTTCTCCTCTCTGTCAGATCAATTGCTGGAATAAAACCGATACCCTCGCAGTACAGCTTGGATACTCATCAAAAAGTGTTGAGCTGCTGCAGAGCAGTGCTCCTAGTGTGGTATTATTTCATTCCTGCAGTGCTGCTCTCTTTGAATCAGGCTGCTTTCTAAATTGGGTTGTTAGTTCTCATACATTGTTTCTAGTCATCCCCACCTGTTGTTGTCACCAAGGAAGATATCTGCCCCACCTCTGCGTTTCCTGTGAGGATTTTGCCACAATTTTGTCATGGCATTTGTAGATGATTCCTTTACACCCTAGAGCATGAGATTTGATAACACCTTTCTCCTCCCTTATTCAAGTATAATGACTGCTTCTCTTAACAGGTGTGTAATTATCCAGCCCTGTTAATGATCTTACATTGAATAAGAGAACTGCCAAGGAGTGACTTCCTTGGATGCAACAACTGTGCTCTTGGCCTTGCGTCCCCATAATAAATATCAGCTCCTTGAAGCCAATTCAGAGCAGATCTGAGGCATTAGGGACATCTTTCCCATTTAATTCAAGAGAGTCAGAAAGCATTTGGCACCTTTCTTGCAGAGCTAACCAAAATGGAACGCTTCCACAGACATAAAATGCTAATTATATAATAGCATTTGATGGTCTGCTTCCTCACAGGACAAGACACAAATGGGAGATCTCACTGGATGCCTCTCCTCATCATAGAGATGCATTTCCTCACACAACTTCTTGAAGGAAGTGTATTACTCTTCATCAAAAATTTATTCTCTTTCTAAGACAAGAGCAGAGACGTCATGGGAGTCTTATCAACACATGTGCTCTCCATAAGGGGTTTGAAAGCAGAAGGACTGTCTTGCCCCTAAAGTTTAGGTGTATTTTTAGGAAGGGATTATAAATTTCAGATGAAACAACAGTGCAAATTCAATGGCAAAAAACTCTGAATAATAAACCCTTACTATTTTGTAGATGCAAAATTTCCTTCAACCTGCTGCCCCTCTTCAACTTTCTTACTGTCACCATCAGTACGTGCTTCCTGGTTTTGAGTTGTCTGACTTTATCTATAGCAATAGTTGGATGACCAGGTCGTTGCCAGAACCAAGGTTTTTTCCTGTCCAGAGTTAATCCATCTATAACATTTTATAATCAGTTTTGTTTGTTTCCAATGACAGATTTTTGAGAACTCATCTGAACAGAAATGGCTTCACTACTCCACATCTGCGAACAGTTAAAGACCCTACCTTTCACTCCTAAGGAAAATTGTTGGAAGACAATATTTGTGACAAGGAAATAGGATTGTTTCAGGAAAAAAACCCAGTTGTTTCTCACAGTTTTCAAAACTCTTTTAACTCATCATTTTCTTTCAAAGGATCATAGAATCATAGAATGGGTTGGGTTGGAAGGGACCTTAAAGATGATCTAGCTCCAACCCCCCCCTGCCATGGGCAGGGACACCTTCCACTAGCCCAGGTTGCTCACAGCCTGGTCCAGCCTGGCCTGGAACACTGCCAGGGAGGGGGCAGCCACAGCTGCTCTGGGCGACCTGTGCCAGGGCCTCACCACCCTCACAGGGAAGAATTGCTTCACAATATCTAATCAAAATCTGCCCTCTGTCAGTTTAAACCCGTTACCCCTCATCCTATCCCTACCCTCCCTGATGCAGAGTCCCTCCCCTTTTTTCTTGTAGCCCCTTTCAGTACTGGAAGGCTGCTCTAAGGTCTCCCCAGAGCCTTCTCTTCTCCAGGCTGAACACCCCCAACTCTCTCAGCCTGTCCTCACAGGGGAGATGCTCCAGACCCCCTGATCATCTTCGTGGCCTCCTCTGGACCCACTCAAGCAGGTCTGTGTCCTTCTGATATTGGTGCCCCCAGAGGTGGACACAGCACTGCAGGTGGGGTCTCACAAAAGCAGAGTAGTGGGGCAGAGTGCCCTCCCTCACCCTGCTGGCCACACTTCTCTTGATGCAGCCCACCATACGGTTGGCTTTCTGGGCTGTGAGTCACATCACCAGCTCACAGGCAGTTTTCCATCCACCGATACCCACAAGTCCTTCTCCTTGGGGCTGCTCCTAATCCATTCATCTCTTAGTCTGTATTTGTGCTTGGGATTGCCCTGACCCATGTGCAGGACCTAGCACTTGGCCTTGTTGAACTCCATGAGGTTTTCTCAGGCCCACCTCTCCAGTCTGTCCAGGTCCCTCTGGATGGCACATCCCTTCCCTCCAGCGTGTTGGCTGCACCACACAGCTCAGTGTCATTGGAGAATTTGCTGAGGGTGCACTCGATCCCACTGTCCGTGTAACCAACAAAGATGTTAAACAGTGCCGGTCCCTACACCCACCCCTGAGGACACCACTTGTCACTGCTCTCCACTTGGATGTCAAGCCACTGACTGGAACTCTTTGAGTGCGGCCATCCAGCCAGTTCCTTACCCACCAAGTGGTCCATCCATCAAATCCATGTCTCTTCAATGTAGAGACAAGGATGTCATGTGGAACAATGTCAAACACTTTGCACAAGTCCAGTTAGATGATGTCAGTTGCTCTTCCCTTATCTGCCAACGCTGTAACTCCATCAGAGAAGGCCACCAGATTTGTCAGGCATGATTTGCCCTTAGTGAAGGCATGTTTTCTGTCACCAATCACCTCCTTATTTTCCATGTGGCCTAGCATAGTTTCCAGGAGGATCTGCTTCATGATCTTGCTGAGCACAGAGGTGAGACTATCTGGCCTGTAGTTCACTGCATGTCCTTTTTTCCCCTTTTTGACAGTAGGGGTTATGTTTCCCCTTTTCCAGTCAGTAGGAACTTCACCAAATTGCCACAACTTCTCAAGTATAGACATTTCTCTCGGGACCTGAGGATGCCTTCCATCAGGTCCCATGGACTTGTGTAACCTCAGGTTCCATAGGTGGTCTCAAACCTGATCTTCTCCTACAATGGGAGGTGCTTCATTCTCCCAGTCCCCACCTTTGCCTTCTGCCCCTTGGGCAGTGTGGCTGGAGCCCTTGCTGGTGAAGACCGAGCCAAAAAAGTCATTGAGTACCTCAGCCTTCTACATATCCCAGGTAGCTAGGTCTCCTGTTTCCTTTTAGAGAGGGCCTGTATTTCCCTTAGTCTTCTTGTTATCAGTGACATACCTATAGAAGCTTTTTTTGTGGGCTTTGACATCCCTGGCTAGGTTTAATTCTCTTGAGGGCTTTAGCTTTCATGACTTAATTCCTGGCTGCTCAGACAATTTTTCTGTATTCTTGCTTCCACCCTCTGTAGACTTTCTTTTTGTGTTTGAGCTTGTCCAGCTTCTGGTTTATCCCTGCAGGCCTCCTGGCATTTTTGCCTGACTTCATGTTTGCTGTGATTCATCACTCCTGTGGTTGAAAGAGGCAATCCTTGACTATCAAACAGCTTTCTTGAGCCCCTCTTGCCTCCAGGGCTTTATCCCATTATATTCTGCCAAGCAGATCCCTGAAGAGGCCAAAGTCTGCTCTCCTGAAGTGCAGGGTATGGAGCTTGCTGTGCACCCTCCTCACTGTCCTAAGGATCTAGAACTCCACCATTTCACGGTCACTGCAGCCAAGGCTGCCCTTTGAGCTTCACTCATCTCTCAGTCCTCACCAGCCCCTCCATGTTTGTGAAAACAAGGTCCAGCACAGCACCTCTCTTCGTTGGTTCCTCTATCACTTGCAGAAGGAAGTTATCATCAATGCCTCCCAGGAGCCTCCTGGATTGCTTATGTACAGCTGTGTTGTCCCTCCAGCTGATATCAGGGTGGTTGAACTCCCCTATGAGGACCAGAGCTGATGAATGTGAGGCTGCTCCTATCTCTTTGCAGAGGACTTCATCTGCTTGGTCTTCCTGGTCAGGTGGCCTGAAGCAGCCACCCCACTATAATGTCACCTCTCCCTGCCCTCCCTTTCATCCTGATCCATAAGTTCTTAGTCGGGTCCTCATCCATCCTCAGGTGGAGCTCCATGCACTCCACCTGTCACTGACATAGAGGGCAACCCTCGCTCCTTACTAACCTTGCCTGGCAGGGGACAGGATGCTTATCTGTAAAGCTAGGATGAGCTTCAAGCATAATTTTCTGTATAAGCTCAGTTGGACTGTTTTAAGATATTGAATATATTATTAATAAATTGGCATGTATCAGTTAAGCAGTTAATTTTACAGAGCTAACTTGAAAATGAAAATATCATCTAGACTCCAAGCAGAAGAAGGAACCCTGAGGGTGAATGGAGTACCTGTATGATATATGATTGTGTCATGCTTGTACTTATATGTGTCAAAAAGCCTGAAACTGAGGAAGCTACTTCCAGAGGAAAAATAACTGATGACTTGGTGGTGCAAAATAGCTTGTTAATAGCTATTGCTATTACTCACACAGTATTGTGCGTTACTGCATGTAATCAGGACAACCAGTCAGAGAGTAGGAAACTGTTCAACATGACTGGGAGTAATAGAAATTGCACCTGGACAGCATTTTCTGTTTGGGGCTTGGAAATCCACTGAAGAAGATTACAGGTTTAAATAAAAATCAGTGGTATTTCAGCTTGGAGTGGGTGAGGTCCAAATAGCTCTCCTCAGATTCAAGTCCTGTTCTCCAAAAGTTTGAGAGAAAAAATGCACAGATTTGAAATGACTGCAAGACAATAGGCTGCCAGTTATCTGAACTAGTAATGGGCTCTCAGACCTCTAATTTGAAGAGTGCCTTTTTTTTTTTTTTTTTTTCAGCAAGAGCCTGAGCTCAGCTTCTCTTGACATGCTAGGAGATGGAAGATCTGTAGAACTCTTTTTCAGCCTCTTTCATTACTGAACTGGCTTTTTGCAAATTGCTGAGAATGCTATGAAAGGAAGAAATGTTGGATATGTTTGGTTAGAATTCATACAGTCCTGAACTCTTAAGTTCTGAAGCCCAGACAGCTGAAATTTTAAAAACCACCTATCAAGAGTTCTCTCTATATAAAGTTTTTGAACTGCATTTAAATCTGCCCTTTTGGTTTATGCATTATCTGGCCACGAATAGTTAATGAATCCTTTTGATGTCTGCACATTTGCTGAAGGAAGCCATTATTGAGAAAATCCTTACAATTTGTGCTTGCATGTCACAGTTTTTATGTAAAAATAAAAATTGAGGTAAACAAACAAGAGCTAAGTTCATTAGCATTCTGTTCTTCATGATGGGCAGGTAAGGGGAAATTGAATTCGCTGAATTTGTTTTATAATGGCAGAGTGATAGCTAATTTAAATACAACAAAACCTGATGAGTGGCAAGTGATGGTGAAGTGGAAAGATCTCATGGGAGCATATTTGAACTCTTTCAGATTTCTGACATGCGTATCTCTCTATCAAAGCCAAACTGAAAGTAGGAGACTTTAAAAAGAGTTGGGGATCATACCTTAAATTTAAAATGCCTCCACAGAAGTGAGTTTCAGTCTACTGACGTGTCAGATCACCTGGTCCTGTATTAGACTTACAGCCAAAGAGCCTGTTAATAAAATGGCTCTGAGATCTTGTTAAAGAGTTAAAGTGGTTTGGTTTCATTAAAATGCTGAGAGCTAGATACTCCCCATGGCTTCAGTGGGACTAGCTGGGCATTCAGCCCTAAAGGGTGTCAGGTTGTCTTAACCCCTCAAAGCTTAACTTTACGTATCTGTCTCTGAGAATCCTGACTGTCTGTGTCAATGTGTAACTGACTTGCTATTTGAATGCAGAGGACCTAGGACACGACTTTGTTACTGCTGTTCATGAGGGCAAGGAAAATCCATGCATATCTGTGTTTTGCAGAAAGATTCTTTCCCCTTGGTTGTGCTTTAGTGGTGCTGCATAAAGTGATTCCCTGCATTTCCATTGTCTTTGGTGAGCACCTGCTGATTTTGCAGGTGGAGGAATTTTGGCAGCATCTAAGGAAAGCAGAATAAAATGCCTGAATCAGCAGACACTGTTTTGCACTGGATTTTGTTGTTGGAAGTTCATCCTTGAGCTTCCCCGATACAAGTATAGTCAGCTTCCAAAATATTTCTGCACTTGCCTGAGCTAGGAGCTTAGAGCAGAATGAACAATTGCATCAGTTACAGAAAGAAAAAAAGTTTTGCATTGTGCTCCCGGAGGTTTCATCTTGCAAATGAACAGCTTTTGTGCAGTAATCACAGGTTTGATGATTCAGACAACATCCCAAAAAAGCAACTCTATTGTCAGGGCTCCCACGTATGCAGGTGAAACCTGCCTTAAGTGTTGTTTGAGCCAAGATTTGCCCAACCATGGGGTGCTGTTTATGTTGCTGTTATTGTTCCCATTGCAAGCTTGTTTTTGTCAGAAGCTATAATTTTGTGATGACTTGGGTCTCTCTTGAGAATTATAATTAAGGATGTGGGGCAAAGAAAGGATTCCTGCTGCTTGGATCTGTAAATAACATTTCTCTCTTTCTCTCCCTATTTTCAATTTGGATTTGCTGCAGGTGCATAGGGCCACGTATTGAAGACTGCATCGGCCTGATGGATAGGTACTTGCTGAGTGATCGTTCCCTGTGTGTCTTCCATCCTCCACGTGTGGACAAGGGCGCATGCGTGTGCATGTCCTTGTGAATGGCAAATGACATCTTTTGTTCTGTAATTGCCTGCAGGTGTAGAGGTCCCGCTAGTCATGACTGCATTTACTATCCATGGACACGACAGTCCACTTTACCACAACATGCTAGGTAACATCCACCACTTTTCCATTTTTGTACACAAGGTCCTTCCCTGGTTGCCATAGGAATGTTATACTATCCAGTTTGTTCAGAAACACAAACTATTGGGGAGAATATAATTTGTCCTTAGGTAAGATACGCTTCTGAACATGCAAAGTTACTTTTCCAGTTGAAAGCCAACTAAATATCTTACTCATTTAGGCTGACTAAAAAATGCCTTTTTAACATTTATTTTTAGGTTAAATCAATAAGGATTCAATTCTGAAATTTTCTGCAGAAATATGTGCTTATGATACTTTACTAGAAGTAAACATGGTGAAAACTGATTAAATTGGAATTTTTTCTATTTGTTGAATTTTTGTTTAAGACTTCTTAAAAGCAAATGAAGCTTTTTCTTCCATACTTCTTTGGAAAAACTAAATGTTTCAACAAAACTGAATTTCTTCCTTAAATTACATAACACTATTATTTGAACTTTTTTTTTCCTGTTCAAAAAAAAATAATAATCATAACCTTGCAGCAATTTTATTTTTCAGTAATGGCAATCAAAATAAATTAGTGTAGGAAGACTCACAAAACATTCTGGTTATACTCTGCATTCTTTTTCATGAAAGCCCTTCATTGCCACTGAGTTTGTTTATTTTTTAATTCAAACTGGTTAGTATGACTTCCAGGCTTTGGGATTACTGTCCAGAGCTGAGACTGGATGAAAAATATATCACTTCAATCAACTTCACCTCATTAAGGATTTTATTTTTTTTTCCCCTGTGTTTAAAAAAAGATTTTAAGGTTGCCTTTTGTTCCTAGTTGTGTACATAATGTGAATATTCCTATTTCTAGCCATTGAGGGGGGAACATGTTTAGACTTGAAAAACAGTGCTTTATAAATGCTATCAAATGGTATACTTCTTTAATTAAACCAATATGAGTTCTGACTTAAGCAACAGAAGAAGACTGAGTTTTTCAATATTTTATTTTAATCTTTCTCAGATATCTAGTTTGAGATACTTCTGTAGGGGACTCAGTTTCAGATGTACTCATCCAGACTGAGTTGCCCAAAACAAGTATTCAGTTTTAAAGGTCTCCATTTTCTCAGTTTTACTCAAAACACAAATACAGAAAATGTATTACTATTTGCATAAGTTTAAGGAACTTACCAAACTATAGAGAATGAAGGCCATGCTGAAGTTCTTTGCTTTAGTAACCAATTTATAAATTACATGTATTTCAAATGGATTTTTAATCAGTTTTTGAGGTACCATTACGGGCTTTATACTAGGAAGACAATTTGTTGGCTTAGTGCAACTCTTACAGCTTTACAGGCTGCTCACTCTAGCTTCCTCTGTTAGCCCAAAAGTTAGTGAGACCTTGTTCACTGTTTAATTCAAGTGGTATAACTCCAGAACTTACCTTTGCGTTGAAAATGTTCAGGTAATAGTAAAGTCTCTGGAGGTACTGCCAAATACCCACTGAATTTGATGAAAAGACTCCTGTCAGTCACAGTGGGTGTTAAATTGGGCCATATATTTAAAAGTGGAATCAAAGGAATGGAAGCTTGGACATGATGACACAACACTGAAGAAAGTGTTGTCTAGTAGCGTGCTGGGCTTAAACCATGTCTTAACAGGCAATGCTTATTTTAGATTTTATTGTTTTTGTGTAAATCCTAGGCTTTGTCTCCTTGAATCTAATGTTAAGATAGTAAAGCAAATTATCAAGGGGGGGGTGTGAAATTAAAGCAATTGATTTACTCTGCTCTAGTGAATAATTTCCTGCTCCATTCAGTCTGAGGGAGGAAGACCCTCAAATATTTCCTTTAGATCTTGAATATTTTTTTTTCCAACTTCATTGAATTTATTTTAGGAAAATCACTGCACTGTATTAAATGCCAGTATGTATGTATTCTTTCACTTTAAAGCCAAAGAAGGAAATTTCATGCTTCTATATTTATTATATTAGTGAAACTGCTTTTTCTGTGTGTGCGTAAAAATGGTGTGGTTTTTGTTTGGGCTGAAAATGGGCAAAACTGCACTGGCAAAGTGATACTTTTTATTACAGTAGACATGTAAATCAAAAATTTATGGATTTCACTGTAGGTAGCACCTTCATGTCCCTTTAACAATGCATACCCTCCCTAGATGGATAGACCTTAAAATAATTAATAATCAGTTTTATCCTTATCCATTGACTTGAATTTCTTCCATTGATGTGAATTAGCAGTCAGTTGAAGGGCAGGGCTCCCAGCTGTGCTGAAAGTAAGAGCAGGGCTCTAACCACAAAGAATGAGGTATTTCTCATCTTCACCTGTTTGCATTTTCATACCAGTGTTGCTTTCTTTCCAGTTTTGCAGTTTGCAAATTGGTTTTGCTATGATCCATTGACTTGAAGGCTTTTGTAAGAGTGTGGTAGAACAGCAAAGGAATTCTTCCTGTCATATTTAATGAGGATTAATCAGATGTGCATCATGTGGCACATTTTCCAGATGCCAGGTGAAGCTTCATTTTTTCTGCTTATGTTTTGTCCCTTACATTTTGTGGAAAAAAGTCCTTACTTGTGGCATTGCGTGTCTTTATGCACAGGTGTTTGTTTTTTTTAAAACTCTCCACTTCAGTAGAGTTTGTCCGAAAGGATGCAAGGAAACCCTTTTCTTTTCCTGTTTTCCAGCTCAGTGCCATGTATAAGGGCAATTTAGTCCTTTTCCTCTCGACTATGTGATAGATTTTTCAAATGACTGTTAGGTTACTTGCTGGATCTCATGTGCTTTTTTTTTTCCCCTGTGAGGACCCACATTTATTTTCAATGTGTTCAATTTATCCTCACAAAGGCTTTCAGTGTGTTCTTAACTGCCAGGAAAATTTCAGACTCTAAAGCAGTTAGAAGTCACAGGAGAAATGAGTGCTTCCCTCTGCTTGTCGTTAGTTGCACATTCTGGTTATTGTCATTATAGGTCTTGATTTACTGTAGTTGAAATCATGCAGCAGGGGAAGCCTTTCCTCACATTTGTAACACACATTCTGTCTGTATTTATATCGTGTTTAATTCATAGCATCCCTATCACAATGTTGTCTGATGGTAATTCATGTGATTCACTGAGTCAGTTTGTTGAGCAGATTTTCTGGCTGACCTCTTTGGGCTGCTCAGATGACGAGAGGGCTGCATGTGTGGGACAGGCAAGCAGAGACTTCCCCATGCAAGGTGGAGTCCTTAGCTGTCATGTAACTAATGTCACTGCTGTTTTGTCTTCCTTTCTGTCTCCTTCTGTCCGTCTGTCCCTGCTGTGCTGAGAATCTCAGCCCAGGGAACATGAGACACGAGCCTTGTGTCCCAGCTTTTCTCAGCTCCTCATAACTCTTCTGTTGTTCTCTGCTTTTTTGGGGGGAGGAGGGGAGCAGGTATTAGATTATTACTGTTAAGCTTTAGTTTGGGTTCCCCCCTTCTAATATCAACCATTCCTAGAAATCACCAAAGCAAAGACAGAAAGCAGATGGAGGCTGGAGAGTCCCAGAGTGCCCAAAAAAGTTAGCTGTCCTTTCCCACCCCTCACTAGAATGACACTCCTCCTTCTGACAGTTATGCTCAGTGGTGTCTTTGGGTAGAACAGCATACTTGTTAGGAGCTGTGGTATGCCTGCTTCAAAGATTGGGATAACCATTGCCTAAAAGGAATTTTGGAAAACTGTAATAATACTACTCTGCCATCCATTAAGAAAAGTACTCTAGGCAGTCACAAAAGGTTGGTTCTTCTACACACCCCTGCTCCCAGGTCTGCCGGAAAGATTTGGCTAATTCAATTATTCCAGCTAGGCTGTAGACAAAGTTTCTACTTAAACTATGAATTTAAATATCTTCATCCTTCCTGTGATTCATTCAGCTTAATACTAATAGAGGAGAGATCATCAAAGGACGCACAAAGTTTCCGCTTTCCAGTGTGTGAGAGACTGTAAATCTGAAGATTTGATCAGAAGCTTGTGGTGGATATGATAGGAAAGAGCTAGCACCTTGATGTTACTGGTCTGAGTAAGCTGATGTTTGTCTCTATATATGCCCCAAGAAAATTTCATTTACATTTCCTTTTAACTAACAGAAACTAATTAGCCAGGACCACCATTGTCAAGTGGTTACATAAAATGATGTGTAGATGTTAACTCAAATTACAATCATAATGCTAGCTTTATATCAACAAAGGACATCCTCTCAACAAATTATCGCTTCCTAAACAAAAAAACCCTGGTTTTATGTACTGCGTGTGTGTACAAGAGCTAATTAACAGTAAACCCTATGTAATGCAGGCAAATCCTTTCATAGCTGTTTTGTACCCCTGCACAGTATGACTTCAATAGAATTTCACAGCAGCTCTGCGTAGATGATGGGGAAGGGAAACCACCTCTAATAAACTGCTTATGTTCATTGCTTTTATGGCGCTCTGTTCCATTGCTTGGAGGGAAGTGTTCCATATGCTCTGTATTTTTATAGAATAATTATAGTCATTCTGGAGGGGAAGAAGAAGAAAATCTCTGTATAAAATAAGAGGAAAAATAGGATCTGTGAGTACAAACTAAGCTACATTACTTGATTGGTAGAAGATGCTACTCTTGAGACTCTTAATATGGAGATTTCTGATGCTGTATCAGAACAGAAGAGTAGAAGAAACAGATCTGGTTTTATTTTTTAAGAATCAAGACTAGAAAAAAGACTGTTTCTTGTCCTACCTCTGTGGTTTGGATAGAACTTATACTTAATTTGTTTAGGACAGACTGATAGAGAAAACCCTGTTCTGTGGGAGAACTTTCTGCTGCTGAACTGGTTCTCAAACAGACCTTTGCTATGGGCACTTCTCTTGACACAGCAACATTTCGCTGCCGAAAGCCTTGGGAGGAATACATTTTGAATACCTTGTGAAATGAATGAAAGTAACCATAGTGATTTCTTGAGATCCCCCACTTTTTACCTCTCCCACTTAGTAGGACTCATCTACTTAAGAAAGGGGCTAGGTGGATTTTCCTTTTCTGC